GTAGGTTTAGGATATTATAAAATATATACAACTTTTTACTACTGTTAGGGTAATGGTAGGTTTAGGATATTATAAAATATATACATCTTTTTACTACTGAAGTTAGGGTAATGGTAGGTTTAGGATATTATAAAATATATACATCTTTTTACTACTGAAGTTAGGGTAATGGTAGGTTTAGGATATTATAAAATATATACATCTTTACTACTGAACAAAATGGTTGTCTACCAAAGCCATTTTTCTAGTAAAAATCTCATTATAACTTTAAAATGCAACTTTTCACCGATGTAGCAGGTCGGATACGCACTGCCTCAGAACCATTTCCACGGCTCCAGTTTTATTTTGTTTGATAAATTATATTGGTGATTTTGATAGTGGGTACCTGGTGTTAACAGCTTGAAGTTTTGAGAGAGACACTTGTTTTCCAAATTTTATTTTTTGACATCGACCTTAGATAATCCTAGCCCAAAAACTTTTCACCGATGTAGCAGGTCGGATATTTTGTTTGATAAACTCATTTTGGCAAAGAATTTAAATTGTATGTGCATTATAAGAGGAAGTATTCCTTTAACCTAGCGGCTCCTGCTCCTGTATCTCAAGTTTTGAGGGAGACACTTGTCATCCAAATTTTAATTTGACATTTTCATTTTAACATCGACCTCAGATGATCTTAACCCTAAGGATGTTATGTAATACTATGATTTTTATTTCAGAATGTAGTTACAAGTATTTGAATAAAACATGTTTAGTACCGATTCCCTTTCATAAAGATGATGACACGGTAACTGAACAAGCCCAATGTGATGAAATGTGTAAATCTAGTATTAGGTGTACCGCTTCAATATTTTTTGACGGTGTATATTGTTTTCTTTACGAAGCTCCAGTCATCTTTGCGTCCTATGAAATAGATCTAAATCAATGCATTGAAAAGTGTAAGGAGAGGAGTGACTGTATAACAATGAGCAGTCCAACAGTTTCAAAAAATAAATGCTTTTTATTGAACGTTACCCTGGCTGAGATATCTGTTTGGACATTTGAAAATAACAGATGTACCATAGTAGAAAAAATATGTTAATTAAAACATGTTTATCATGATAAATCTTTTTTTATTTACTTTAAGTATCAGAACTAACCTGAAATTTGGGGTGGTGGGTTGACATCACTAGTGAAATGTTGGGTTCCCTACTCCAAAAAAATCATCCCTTAAAAGAACACTACCTCTAAGGATGAGCAAAAAATTTATTTTTTAAACTTGTCCGAAATGAGTATTTATTCATCAGTGGACTCACCTAGTGTTAAAACTTTACAACAGAATTCTCTCATATGACCCGATAAATCAATAAAACTACAAAAGTAATTATTGAAAAAAAGGTAAATATTGAAAAATGCTTAATATTTTTAAGCGTTTTTTCAATAATTACTTAGTTTAAAGATGGGTTCCCTTATTTTCATTATGAAAATGAAAATGCTAATACTTATATGAATAGAAAGTAGAGGTGTTCTAATGACTTGGAAAAAATACCAGTTTGTCTCACATGTCCATAATTAATTCATAATTAGCTAAATTAGAAGAGAATTACCAGCAGAATTCCAATGAGTGACCGATCAAGAAAGGTCAAAAATTCTTTTTTTGTTTATCCAGACTGTACATACATGGACATTTATGATTGGTTAAAACTCTTAATAATATGCAATAAGAACATAATGATATGATTAAGAATACATGATAACTCATTAGAAACACAAATTAATCAAATAGTTTGCCTAATTTGGCACTAAAAAAAGGAAAAGGAAACCATCTTTAATGGATCTATTTTCATAAATAGGGTGCATGTTGTTTTGTTAAGGCACCAGGTAAGTCCACTATGAATTTAGACTCATTTTGGCCATGTTAGAGAATTGATATTTTATGTGCATTGTTGGAGGGAGTAACCTAGCTATTCGGACGTGATGTATACAGATGGGATATTACCATTTTAATCATACCCGTAGCTAAACAACAGTCTCGGGGGTTGGCTTCTGTATTTTTTCAAGGAGGGCTTAATGTTTAACTTTTTTTAATTTGACACAACATAGTTAGGCTTAGAAATAGCTTCAAATGTGCTATGTTGAAATATTACAGCCTATATAAATATAGCTTGCCAGGCAAGGTAACATACGCCCACTGATAGCTTTGATTGTAAGTACAAATCTTTGTTTGCTGCCCATTCAATTGTAGCCTGTAGAGTGAGCACGAGTTGCACAATATAGCTAAATATAAATATAAATATAAATATATGTTAAATATAACACTATTGAACAATTATCCAATCATCACAAAAATCAATAGGGATCATCTTCATAATGACATTGACACACAAAATCAAAATCAAAAGAATCTGTAAAGAATTGTAGCCTGTAGAGTGAGCACGAGTTGCACAATATAGCTCATGGATATGACAGGGTGATTACAATTTAAGCCCATCTTATGTGTGGGGGTATAAAAATTCGAGGGAGTTATTAAAACGGTTATGAATTACGTTCGTATGTGTTGTTTCTGTGTAAGAACAATGTGTATATAATTTCGTATGGGCTTTGCCATTTTCAGGGCTCATTCGAGTGTCACGTCAGGTAATTGATGTTATTATTATCAGCCTAAAAGCAAAACCCCTCTCCCTAATTTCCCAGGTCCCAGATAGATGTTAACTTCCAGTTCCAGAGCCATTTGGAAATCTCGATCTTTAAGATCATGTGACCAAATAAACATAAAACAAAATGATCTAACATTGTACATATTATAACTGAGATAACATAATTGATGTGGTAGGCGTGGCATTCTGGTTATATTTACCTTGAAATATTTGCAATTGTTATAACTCGCAAATTTGGTGCCAGACAAGGTAATATACGCCCACTGGCAGCTTTGATTTTACATAAAAATATTTAGCAGTACGATAACAATCATCAGTATGAAATATTCAACCTTCAGTCATACACTTCTTTTGAACTTTTTGAGGCGATACTAAAAATTGAACGCATTTTCAAGAACAAGGGCAATAACTCATACTAAATATCGGAATCTATATTTGACACCAGCCTCTATTTACTTGAGGTCTGCTGTCGCCCTATCTACTTCCATTTTACAAAAATAATTTCCTCAAAGTTCAGAGTTATTTCCGAGAACAGGATCAGAACTGGATGTAAATGAAATGTGGGCTAATGAAGACGGGCAACGCCATGCAGGGTGCGATGAGGGAAATTTTGCCAGGACAGAGCATTTTTCGATTTCCTACTGTTAACGTGCATAGCCTGTTGCACACAGGGCCTCGGTTTATAGTCCCATCTGAACGACTAGACGCTTTTTCTATGTCAGCCCCTCTTACCTACATCACTGACAGGGGAAACCGGGTTAAAAAATCTGAAGGTATTATCTTGACCTATGCAGGGATTGAACCCCGGACCTTCAGGTTAGCGAGCAAGTGTCTAACTCACTGAGCCAGCATCAGAACTGGATGTAAAGATTTTCAATAGTCATGCAATATCATTATAGTAATAAACTAGGTTAACAATGCACACCCACATAGCTAGCTCTTCTATTGAAATAACATGATAAAACAGACAGGTTGTAATTTTGAAACATGCGAGCGTATACCAGCGAAACGGATGAGGTCAAACAGAGGTCAAGAGACAAACAAATTAAAATAATGATACACACATGAGAAGAAATAATTCTGCAACCCATTTCCTGAAGTCTTACATCTCTGGAGTATACTTTGGAATATTGGGGGGTTGCCACAAAGAACATCTTTCTCTTTTTAACCTTGAACATTCTAAACTACTGAAATTTATACTTGATAAGAGCTATGGATAGCTGAAATTTATACTTGAAAAGAGCTATGGATAGCTGAAATTTTTATTTGAAAAGAGCTATGGATAGCTGAAATTTTTATTTGAAAAGGGCTATGGATCAGACCAAAACACTTTCAGAAATGATAAAACAGTCTTCAGTGAAGTTTATATTTGAAAAGAGCTATGGATAGTTAAAATTGATACTTGAAAAGAGGTATGGATAGCTGAAATTTATACTTGAAAAGAGCTATGGATTGCTGAAATTTATATGTGAAAAGAGCTATCGATAGCTGAAATTTATATGTGAAAAGAGCTATGGATAGCTGAAATTTATATTTGAAAAGAGCTATGGATAGCTGAAATTTATATTTGAAAAGAGCTATGGATTGCTGAAATTTATATTTGAAAAGGGCTATGGATAGCTGAAATTTATATTTGAAGGGCATCAAATTGTTAAGAGTGAAATGGTTGAAAATTTAAACTTGACCAAGATCTCATCAATAGAAATAAAAAGACATAAAACTCTAACACAATTTCATTTCATTTCAATATAAATCAATATTTCTTGTTAACACAATAGAGACTACAGTTTTTATCTGATTTTAATGAAACTTAATGTGATAATGTATATTGATGAGATTTTGGTTCAAATTTGACGATTTTTCAATGAATGTTTTCTTTGAGTTATCTCCTTTGTCTTAGGAAAAACACGTCAAAATTTGTTCGTGAACACAATAGAGACTACAATTTTCAACTGATTTTTATGAAATGTGGTGTGATCATTTATATTGATAATATCTTAGACAAGTTTGAATTTGAGGATCTTTTGATGAACGGTTTTTGAGTTATTGCCCTTGACTTAGGAAAATCTCGTCAAAATATCAGTAGAGTCTTTGTTTACTGGGAATTTAAATTAGCTATTAATCATAACATGAATAAAATTAAAACAAATACACAAAGAAAATCAGGACATTTGAGAAAAAAACTTAAAATTATTAGCTAAATTAGCTTAAATTTCTTG